GACTGTTTGGCCGGCATTAACAGATCGACATTAATTGCCCTAAACTATAATCTAATACTTACCCTAAATCTAACTCTAATTTAGGCCGATTGACACGTAGAGCAAGAATCGATCTGAGGCACAACATATATACATGTTATGACGCCGTAATTTAAGGCAAAAAGTTATAACTAGTTATAACTCAGTTACGTTACGCCAAATCCCAATGCTTCAAGTTCCACCTGCACCTCTGGTTTTGTCTAACGTTGCATGGCGTTTGTCCAACTTATTTTAAGGAATTTCTCACTACAGACAATTATGTTTACACAGTGTATGAGTTATAACTTAAAATATCCACAATGACAATTTAAAATTTGGATCGATTTAGTTGCACAAAAAGTTTAATAAATAAGTAAATACGTAAATACATAGGGACATACGAACGTACGCACGGCTTTTCCAGCAAACTTTTTACAAAAGATGGAATTTGGCCAGCTTTTGAGGTATGCTATAAATGGAGATTCACATGCACAACTCATAGTTGGAAATTGCTATAATGAAGGCGAAGGTGTATCTAAAAATAAAAAGAAGGCATTTGAATGGTATTTAAAATCTGCTAAAGGCGGAAATTCTGGTGGACAATGCAGTGTCGGAGTGTGTTATGACAAAGGTATAGGCGTTTCTAAAAATCAAAAGAAGGCTTTTGAATGGTATATGAAATCCGCTGAAAGTGGAAATTCTAATGGTCAATTTAATGTTGGATTGTATTATGGTGGAGGAGGACGAGGCATTTCTAAAGATGAAAAAAAAGCATTTGAATGGTTTTTAAAATCTGCTGAAAACGGAAATTCTCATGGTCAATTCAATGTTGGAATGTACTATTCTGAAGGAATAGTAATTTCTAAAGATGAAAAAAAGGCATTTGAATGGTTTTTAAAATCTGCAAAAGGTGAAAATTCTAGAGCACAATTAATTGTTGGAAATTTTTACCAAAATGGCAATGGCGTTTCTAAAAATGAAAAAGAGGCATTTGCATGGTATTTGAAGGCAGCTAATAATGGAGAGTCTGACGGACAATTTAATGTTGGAATTTGTTACCAAAATGGCACAGGCGTTTTTAAAAATCAAATAATCGCATTTGATTGGTATTTAAAATCTGCCGAAAACGGAAATTCTGATGGACAATTATTTGTTGGGTATTGTTATAATAAAGGCATGGGTATTTCTAAAGATGAAAAGATGGCATTCGAATGGTATTTAAAATCTGCTAAAGGAGAAAATTCTAACGGGCAATTAAATGTTGGACATTGTTATCAATATGGCACAGGAATCTGTGAAGATGGGAAAAAAGCATTTGAATGGTATTTAAAATCTGCTAAAAACGGAAATTCTATTGGACAATTTCATATTGGATTATGTTATAATATAGGTTTAGGCATTTCTAAAGATAAAAAAAAGGCATTTGAATGGTATCTAAGATCTGCTGAAGGCGGAAATACTAATGGACAATTAAATGTTGGAATTTTTTATGAAAATGGCATAGGAATTCATAAAGATGAAAAGAAGGCATTTGAATGGTATCTGAAATCAGCTGAAGGTGGAAATTTTGATGGACAATTAACTGTTGGAAATTGTTATCGGACTGGCATATGTATTTCTAAAGATGAAAAGAAGGCATTTATGTGGTATTTGAAATCTGCCGAAAGTGAATGCTCTGATGGACAACTTAGTGTTGGAAATTGTTATCAGACTGGCATAGGCGTTCCTAAAGATGAAAAGAAGGCATTTAAATGGTATTTAAAATCTGCTGAAGGCGGAAATTCCTATGGACAATTCAATGTTGGTTGGTATTATAACGAAGGCATAGGCGTTTCTAAAAATAAAAAGAAAGCTTTTGAATGGTTTTTAAAATCTGCCAAAAGTGGAGATTCACAAGCGCAACTCATAGTTGGAAATTTCTATAATGAAGGAATAGAAGTTTCTAGAGATATAAAAAAAGCATTTGAATGGTATTTAGAATCTGCCAAGGGTGGAGATTCAGATGCACAATTCATAGTTGGAAATTGCTATGATGAAGGTATAGGCATTTCTAAAAATGAAAAAAAAGCATTTGAATGGTATTTACAATCTGCTAAAGGCGGAAATTCTAGTGGACAATTAAACGTTGCATATTGTTATCAATATGGCATAGGAATCTATGAAAATGAAAAAAAAGCATTTGAATGGTATTTAGAATGTGCCGAAAGCCGAGATTCTAGTGAACATTTAGACTTTGGACTGTGCGTAAACATTTTTAAAGATGAGAAAGAAACACTCGAATGGTATTCAAAGTTTGTTGAAGGTGGAAGTTCTAGTGGACAATTAAACGAATTGAACGCTAAATTGTGCTATGATGAAAGAATAGGTAGCTCTAGAAATGAAAAAAGGAAGATCGAGAGTGGAAATTCAAATGGCCAATTTAACGTTGGAGTTTGTTATCAAAATGGTATAGGTGTCACTAAAGATGAAAAGATGGCTTTTAAATGGTATTTAAAATCTGCCGAAGGAGAAAATGTCAGAGGACAAACCCAAATTGGATTGTGCTACCGAAATGGCAGCGGAGTATCTCAAAATCAAGAAAACGCTACTAAATGGTTTCAAAAAGCAAAAGTCAATAAACAGGATCAGAGAGATTATAAATGTGAAATTTCTGATATTGATGATTCTTTGAAAAAAACCTTATGTGAAAATAAATATTTATTGTCATGGATTCCATTCAACGAATTAGAGATTATTGAAAAAATTGGAAAGGGTGGATTTACAACTGTGTATTTAGCTCGATGGAAATCAAAAAATCACACACAACTTGTTGCACTTAAACTTCTTCATGGATCACAAGATAATTGCGATAAGCTTTTAAAAGAGGTATATGTTTAATTAGTTAGGCCATGCAAAATTAATTAATTAATTTTCATAACCGGCCGGGTTAAAACCTGAAATTCTGTAAAAAAAATTTCAATAACTGGGCGGATTTTATAAAATTTTTTTATATGAAATTTAAAAGAAATTACCGGCCGGCCGGGTCTGTTTAAAAATTTCTTGTCATGAAAATCGAGAAGTTAAATTTGTGTGGCCTTACATATATATAATTTTACTTTACTAACATACAATATATTGCATTGTAGTTGAAGACACATTACGAAATTGAATGTGAGGGCTTTATGTTTTTCAAATGTTATGGCATATCAAAAGATGAAGATGCCACTAATGATTACATATTAGTCATGCAGTATGCACAAAAAGGTTCTTTGCATCAAAATCTTAGCGATATCTTACAAATGGGATGGAAAGAGAGATTAAGTATATTATTCTATATTGCTCAAGATCTTCGCCTCCTTCACTCTCATAACATTATTCACCGGAACTTGCACAGTGGAAATATATTACAAGATGAACCTTATACAGCACATATTGATTTTGGACTTGCTGAATTAGTTAATCTAACGAATAATCCAGGAGTTTATGGAGTCATTCCATATCTAGCACCTGAGGTTATAAATAAAGGATTATATACTCAGGCATCTGATATTTATTCTTTTGGAATTATAATGTTGGAAATGTCTTCTGGAATGTTTTATGACGGGACAGGGCCAATCGCAGTCAAGGGCACAACACAATGTTATATTGAGCTTATGGAAAAGTGCTGCGATAATAGTCCGAGGAAACGCCCGTCAGCTTTAGAAATTTACAAAATTATTCAATTGTGGAAGAATAATGACGAAATTCTACTAAAATTTGAAGAATCTAATAAAATAGTGAAAAATATGTATCACGAGTTAGCAACTATACGTCCTAAAGCAGTATATATGCACAGATTTATTAATAATGATACTAAAAATTGGAAAAATCTAGAAAAGATTGTGTTTATAAAAGAGACGTATAAATTGTCAGATAAAGCACAATCACGTAAAAGCTATAAAATTAAACATACTGTGACTGGTTTAGTTATAGTTTGCACATTTCTTTTCATGTTAATACTGTGGAAAAATATCTAAAGAAATATTTGAGCACGTAATCACTTTATTGTATGTTTCTGATTTTTCATTATCCTAACCATGGATACTTTTTTAATATTTAACATTATGCTTTAAAAAATTAATGTTTAGTAGTTTAATTGATTAAACGCCTTTAACATTTAAGAGTTTAGACTCCAAGAATTTTAATACGTGAACAAGTAAAAGTGAATAAATTCATCTTTATTATAATGAACAGAAAATTAATTATCCAGTCCATTATTTTATTCTCTGATTTTACTTATTCAATTATTCCCTTTTCTCATTATTATATTATTGAATTATTATTTTTATCATTATTGTTATTATTATTGTTATTATTATTGTTATTGTTTGTAAGTATAAATTTTTATGTTTGTAGTTTTACAATGTTGCATTAAATTTAAGATTGTCTATTTATTGTCACCTGCAAAATAATAAATAGCGATTGCTACCGCGACGCAATTTTGGTTTATGAACTTTGAGCTTCTAATGACCTGACACTATATATATTATATATTTAGTGCAAATGGGAGCCAAGTAAAAGTATTATATGCTAACTTTGAGGTTTCCAAGAACAATATTTAAGAATGCTTAGTCCATAATATTTAAGAATATCTGATCTATAACATACCAAAAGAACAATTTATTAATAATATTTAATACTGGCAACCCAATAATATTCAAAAACTAGTTTATCTATTCAATTTTACCGAATTGTTGCCCTGAGACATTATTTAGGGTCACATTCTTGAAGAGAGCCAATAATTGTATGAAGCTATAAAAGACCTGCCTTTTTTGCTTAGATGAAAATTAACTCTCGATGTTCGAAACTTAGAAATATAGTAGAATTATTGTTCTCTAAATGGGTTGACCCTTGATTCATAAAATCGTTTGTTTTTATCGTTATTAGAGACTGGACTCGGATAACCTGCGGGTGAGTCAGGTATCCGGGTTGAATTATATCAAGGTTAACGGTCAACCCTAAGGATGGCTCTAAAAGTATTTTGGCATGTTGAAAGTCATGCCGAAAGTCTTACTGAAAGTCGAAAGTCTTACCGAAAGTCGAATGTTTTACCGAAAGTTGAAGTCTTACCGAAAGTCGAAAGTCTTACTGAAAGTAAAACCCTTAATGAAAGTTGAAAATCTTATTGAAAGTCGAAAGTCTTACCAAAAGTAGACTGCGACAAAGGCCAATCATATCTTGAATTTAAAAAAGTCATGTGACCACTAGATAGCTGCGCAACGTCGTCGCGCAAAACCAGTAACAGATTTTTTGAAAATATATAGGTAGTGTTCTCAAAGGGTCAAATTAATTTGGGTAATCCAAATTACAATCTTGAACCTAAAATTCTTGATATCAACTTGGGTAAATTATATAATTATAAGATTATTATAATGTTATTTGAGTTTGTGATTAATTTTGGTGGAATTTACAAATTAAAGCACGGAAAATGTAAATTTAAATAATTATATATAAGGGCTTAACGCTTGAAAAATAATTGTGACATGATTTAAGCTTTAGGAATGATCGTCATTTAGTATAAGAAATATAAGTATTGATAACTGTAGTTATTAAGCGCATAAGAAATGTAATGACAGATTATTAGTTATCATAAATTAGTAAAAAAAAGTATTTTCGTTTTGATTTTAAATTAATTTGCTTCATTATTGCTATAACAAACCACTCTATCTACATAAATATAATGTTACACCTTAGTTTGATTATTACTAATATTGAAGATGTTTGTTTAGGTCTAGATGACTATTTTGCTGAAAGTTCACCTTACAAGTTCAGGACCAAAAACTAACTAATTAACTGTTGTTTGTTTAATGTACAGAGGCAGTACAATCTGTTTATTGTTTCTGTTAATAAACGTCAAGGTGGTTATATTTATATTGTAAAGCTATATACATGTGTTTAATTTTTATAGCGAATATAAATTGTAAAAATTTTAATAAGTATATAATTTTGCTAGTTTGACACTATCTTTTATACAATATTTAAGCAAAATGATTATAATAGGTATTTTATATAGCTTTATCTAATAATTAGTATATAGATAACTTTAAGGGTAGGGGGTATGTAGATTATTTTTATATAGTTATGTATAGTATATTAAACTTTTCATTTAAAATTAGTATATGCTACTAATAAAACTTTTTTATTTTTTAATTAATTAATAAAAAAATTTTATATTATAAATAAAATTATTTATCTATTATAGTAAAATTTTGATGTTTTGTATTATTTTAAAAAAATATACCTGTATATATAACAAAGTTTACTTAGATGGATTAAAATTTTCTTAGGTAATACAAAAAGGAAGAATTTGATTGGATAATTTATATAAACCTATTAGTTAATTTTATTTTATAATTTTATATTCTAATCTTTAAAAATTAATATCTTAATGAGTTTTTAACCTATT